GGCCCCCGCCGCCGTGGCCCCGCCTCCTTCCTCGCCTCCTATTGGCCGCCGCCAACAATACGTAACCAGAAAAAAAGGCCCGCCCCCTCCTCACGCCCCCGCCACGTGATTGGCCAAAAGGGGGGAAGGGCGGGAAAATGGCGCCTTTTGGCAGGAAAATGGCGGCCTCGACCGAAAATCTCCCTCTTTTTTGGGGAAAATTTGTCTTTTTTGGGGAGAATGTTCCCCCTTTTGGGGGAAAATCTCCATTTTTCGGAGAAAAAACTCTTTTTTTCGGGGAAAATATTCTCCTTTTGGGGAAAAAACGCCTCCTTTTGGGCAAAAACTGCTCTTTTTGGGTAAAATCTGCTCTTTTGGGGCAAAATCTCCCCCTTTTGAGGGGAAAATCTCTCTTTTTTGGGGAGAATGTTCCCCTTTTGGGGGGAAAAACCTCTTCTTTTTGGTGAAAATGTTCTCATTTTAGGGAAAGACCGCCTCCTTTTGGGTAAAATCTGCTCTTTTTGGGAAGAATGTGCTCTTTTGAGGGGAAAATCTCTCTTTTTTGGGGGAGAATGTTCCCCTTTGGGGGGAAAATCTCCATCTTTCGGGGGAAAAAGCCCTTGTTTTGGGGGAAAATGTTCTTCTTTTGGACAAAAAGCTCCTTGTTTGGGAGAAAAGGCGCCGGAACTCTTGTTTCTGGGCCCTTGTTTCCGCCCGGACCCTTTTTTTTAGTCCTACTTACATCCGGGCACCACCGAACCCGGCGCTCCTCTTGTGACGTCACTTCCTGCGCGACGCCGCCGCACCCAAGATGGCGCTGAACGCGGGTACCGCGCGGGAACCCCCCTCCTCCCCCGGGACCCCCCCAAAAACCCCCCAAATCCCTTCGGAACCCCCAAGCTCTAAGCACACAGTGGGGTTAAGGGGGGGGACCCCCAAGTGTTTTGGGGAGGGGGGATCCCCCAATTTCTGTAGGAAGGGATTTCACAGAGTCACAGAATCGTAGTGGTTGGACGGGACCTCTGAGACCATCGAGTCCGACCACAAAAAAAACCCCAAAAAAACAGAAACAAAAAAAGACGACGATTCTGTGTGAAAGGTCACTGCAGAGAGGTTGGTGCTGGTCTCTTCTCACAGGGAATTAGTGACAGAACGAGAGGGAACGGCTTCAAGCTCCAACAGGGGAGGTTTAGACTGAACATTAGGAAGGACTTTTTCACCCAAAGAGTGTCCCTGGGCAGCCCATCCCAAGGGCTGAGAACCCTTTGGGTGACAAAATTGTTCCCAATATCCAGCCTGAACCTCCCCTGGCGCAACTTGAGGCCTTTTCCTCTCGTCCTGTCGCCTGTGACTTGAGAGAAGAGACCGACCCCCGTCTCTCTACCCCCTCCTTTCAGGGAGTTGGAGAGAGCAATGAGGCCTCCCCTCAGCCTCCTCTTCCTCAAACTGAACACCCCCAGCTCTTTCAATCACTCTTCATAAGATTTTATTCTCCAGCCCCCTCCCCAGCTTCATTGCACCCTCTCCAGCACCTCGATATCTCTCTTGGATCGAGGTGCCCAAAACTGGACACAATATATAGAATACCTCAATATATAGAATATATATAATTATATATATATATATAAAATATATAGAATACCTCATCAACCTGCTCATCCTGGTTGGGTGAGTCTAGAGCAGGCTCCCAGCACAAAAATCACCTTTGTTGGCCTTTTCTTTCACCCTTTTACCCATAAACACTCAACTTCATCATCCCTTCATCGTCCCACCACGTTTCCGTGATGGCAACTCAGGTTCGTTACCAGCGGGCCTGGTTTTGTCCCCTTCCCCCTTAATATTCAATATTAAGTGCTTCAATTCTATACAGTTTAAGAAAGTAAAAAGCACACGATAAACAGAGGCAGCTACTGCCAAAAGCCGGGCGTATTTGAGGGCAGAGAGAAGGGGAGTCCTGTCTTTTAACCTTCCAGGAAATCTTTCGCTCTCTCCCCGTGACTCTTTGAGGAGATTTAACCTCTTTGCCAGCTTTCCGTCTCTTAACACATTTAACAACCTCAGTGCGACGTTACGTCTTAACGGCTGTAAAGCATTAAGCACCGAGTGAAAGCTGAATGGATTAACGGAACAAACGAATCTAAATAAAATCTATACATCTAAATAAATCATCTAAATAAATCTAAATAAATTATATTAGTAAATAACACAGAAAAAAAAGGATTCCCTAAGGTACTTCACCCATCTTGGCAGCTGTATTTGCTGTTCATCTGCCTGGTTGAGGACCCGGGTTCGAATCCCGCCGCCGCCCGGTGCCGCCCCCCCCATCCCCCGTTATATCGCGATTTCCCCCGTCATATCGCGACACCC